TGAACAATGCCAGAGTTTAAGCCACCATATCTTGGCCTTAAATCCAGATCCTCAAAGTACTGATTCATTAATTTCAGTGGAAGTTAGGAGCCTGACTTCCTTTCGATGGTCATAGCTTTCACTACGTCTTGGAGCACTGGGGAAGTTCTTGAAGGCTGGAAGAAAGCTAATATTGTACCAACAACGGTAAATGGGATGACCCAGGTAACTATAGGCCTGTCAGTGTGATGTGATAGTCCCAGGCTGACGTGGGATATGATTAATGCCAATCAACATGGATTGATGGAGGATAAATCCTATTAACCTAGTTTGATCCTCTTTTAACGAGCTCACACGTTGGGTTGAGAAAGGTGGCGGGGTTGATGTCATGACCTTCTTGAGCGACATTTGTACCTCATGACATTTTGATTAAAAAGCTACAAAGATGTAAAATGAACGTGGCACATTTTCAGTGGCTTAGAAGCTGGCTAACTGATAGATCTCAAAATGTAATTGGTAACTGGGAATCAGCGTTGCAGAGATGAATTTGTAGGGATTTCCACAGGGATTGGTTCTTGGCCGTACACTATTTAACATTTATATTAGTGACCGGGAAGAAAACGTAAAATCGTTGCTGATAAAGTTTGCAGATGACACAAAAATTGGAGTAGTAAACAACGAAGAGAACAAGTTAGCTCAGGGCGGGGGGGACACTACAGCTCTGCCCCCCCCCCCCCCCCCCGATGGTACTGGGGGGAATTGGCTCCTGCTCCCTCCTCCCCTGGTACAGAGGTTGGGGGGAGAGGAAAGCAAGTAGCTGAGTAGTCACTTACGTCCCTAATTGTAATATGGCTTAATGTAAACGTGCCCCTCTGGGAAGAAGAGGGAGGGGGGTGCTTTCAGGATGAGGGGCTCTAGCCTGGGAAGAGTGACTCTGAAAACATTTTTGGACAGGGGGCAAATAATCAGCTGAACCAAGCGCCCCCAGAACAATGCTGTGGCCAAAAAGGCTAATGCAAACTGCAGCATCAGCAGAATCTTGAGTAGGCGCAGAGAGGTTATTTTCCCCTCTGTATTTGGCACTGCTCGAAATCTGAGTCCAGTGCTGGGGTCCACAGTTCAGGAAGGGTGCTGATAGGCCTGAGAGGGCTCAGAGGAGAGCCATGAGAATGCAGACTCCAGGTGCTCAAACAAGCCCAACCTGCCTGGCCCATCGGCTGTGTATTCATTGCACTGATCACTTAAGAATTCCTCAGGAGCACTCTGGATTGGCAGATCTCTCAAGATTAAGCCCAGTGTTACTCAAATGGCAGTTTGGTTGGGAACCCAGATGTGGCCAGTTGACCCAGCATCAGTCGTCTGAATACGATTAGTGAAGGGACCAGCCAGCAAGGTGGCTCAAGAGGATAACAGAATGCGTGTCTGAGCACCCATGTGCTCACAGCACCCCTTGCAGAACAGCCCGAAGTCACCCTCTCCAGCGGTTGTCAGTGCCACTAGGTGTCCCACGTCCCTCAGCACGCAGGCCCGGATACGACTTTGATAAGGGGCCATGCTGATGGCACTGTGCATGACGCGTTCATTCGCAGGAACGTCTCCCCTTTTCCTTGTTTGTATTTCCTCACCCTCCTGCTCCTGGAGACTCGTCTCCCATAGGCTACTAGCCCATTTACCTCACGTTTATTAGCATGTCAGTTACCATGGCACCCCTGTGGTCAGACAGCTGCTGATGTTCCTAACCCAAAATATCTCAAGCTGATGGACGCTAGCATCTTGTGACTACCTGAGCCATGACAGCGCTCTCTTGTGAGAGCTAGGGTGACTCCTAAAGGTTAAACTTAAAAAACAAATGGTCTGGTAGCACTTTAAAGACTAACAAAACATGCAGATGGTATCATGAGCTTTCGTGGGCACAGCCCACTTCTTCAGATGACTGACTGGAGTGTTGGATGTCCAGAACCAAAATAAATAAGGAAAAGGGGAGGAAGGACAGAAAGAGGCAGAGGGTAGGTAAGTATCAAAGAGAAAGCTGAGTAGGTATGTAACTGGAAAACAACAGATAGTCTATTAGCCACTCATACTGCAGCATTTGGGGCCACGTATCTTGATTTCTCACTGATCTATTCACAGTGGAGGAAAATCTCTGCTTGCTTGTCCACACTGGACAGGATGGGAAGAGGAGTGTAAAGAGCTGAACAGCCGTTGTGCCATTTTTTATTGCTTAAAGTGCATCAGGGACATCAGTGATAAAGTTGCACCGATGAGCACAGTACAGCAAAGGGCTCATGGACAAGAGCTGATGAGAGGGTGAAGAAAACATGCTAAAATGCAGATCTGTGCAGAATTGGGCACTTTTAGGCATCTCATCCCCATTTGATTTCCTGCAACCTGAATACCTGCAGGCTTTTTGCGCAAGTACATTTACAGTACAGCATCAGAAAACAGGGCTTCTTCCGGAAGAGTTATTCCTCTCCCCACGCAGAATAAGTGCAAGAGCTCTTTCACAAGAAGGCAGTGTAGGCAGGCAACATGAATTTCTTGCACAAGAAAGCCCTATGGTTAAAATGGCCATCAGAGCTTTCTTGTGCAAGAGAGAGTCCACACTGCCATGGACACTTGCATACCTGGGCCTCCATTTATCAATTTATTCTCATTCAAGATCTGGATTTCTAACTGGGGCTCCATTGTTACACCGTGGATTTTTTTACAGCAAGGAACAGAGAGAAACAGAACTATCCCTAGTGTGTGTCAAGGGTTTTTCTGACACAGCCCCGGGGCAGCTGTCAATTGGTGCAGAGTTTTACCCCACATTGCTGAGCCTCGGGGTTACCATGGAGCTGCAAAGCGATAGCTGATCACAGCAGATGAAACCAGTTCCCATTGGGGCCCAGAGCCTCAAAAGTGCAGAGGCTTTCTAGAAGAAACACAGTCTGGCTTTAAAACCTGTCAGTGCTGGAGAACCCACTCCAGATCATGTTAAGCTGGTCCAGTGGTTAATCACGGTTAAAAAGTTCCACTTTATTTCCAGTCTGACTGTCTCACTTCAGCTTCCGGCCCAGGAGTCACATTAGGCCATTCTGTGCTAGATTGAAGGGCCCATCATTAGCTATTTATTTCCCACGTTAGTACTGAGTCGGGGGATCAAGTCACCCGTAACCTCTTTCTTCCGCAGCTTGCTGGTGGTTGCCATGTAAGGCAGTAATGCTTAGAGCAGACAGGCCGGTAAGGCAATGGCTTAGCTACACTGACATAGGACTCTGGGAAAAGGTACCGCTGTGCCTCTGAGAATGAAGGGCCCATCATTAGCTATTTATTTCCCACGTTAGTACTGAGTCGGGGGATCAAGTCACCCGTAACCTCTTTCTTCCGCAGCTTGCTGGTGGTTGCCATGTAAGGCAGTAATGCTTAGAGCAGACAGGCCGGTAAGGCAATGGCTTAGCTACACTGACATAGGACTCTGGGAAAAGGTACCGCTGTGCCTCTGAGAAGGGATAAAAGCCCTCAGCCAGCCACCAGGGTGATGCTGGAGAGAGGGAGGGGGGGAAAAGAGAATCCAGCTGCAGTGACCGCTTGCTCTGCAGAGGGGGCCTGGCTTGTTTACCCCACAGCCTCTCACCCCCACTGTATAGCCCAGTCCCTGCACGTAGAGGGCACTGACCCTCCATCATCGACCCCTGCCACTGCTGGATGCAGATAGGAATCCAGATCCAGGCTGCACAATAGGGGCTTCACTCCTGGCCCAAGCTAGCTGGGACAGACTTACAGCCAAGCCCAGCTCTATAACACCCTAAAGCCCCGCAATCAGGAGGCAGCAGGGGGGAAGGCAATGGAGGGGAAGGGTAGCAGCCATGCAACTTTATGATGTTCTGCAGGTCTGGGACCTCCCCTTGCAAGTGGCCCAGAGCACCCCCAGCTGGCCTAGGCCAGTTCTGCTGGCACTCTGCCTCAGTTTCCCTGTGACGCAGACAGAGCCAACAGGATGGGAGGGTTGAGAAGAGGCGCTGCTCATAGATCCAGAGCTGTAATGAAAAGGCTAACGCCCCTGCTGGGGGAATTGGTGCTTCCCAGACCCCCTGCCACAAGGGGAAAAGTGCAGAAAGGAACGAGCTGGGGACCGCAGCAGGCACAACAGGCTTAAACTGGACTTTTGCTCCCCTGGCTTTTGCCAACCCTCTTCCCAGTCAATGGAGTCTCACCCTTCCTAAATCCAAAATCCTGGAGGGGTGGGGGCAAGAGAAAAGAGGAGAGAAGGGAGTTTAGTGAGGGGAGGGGTCCACTAACCCTGCCCTTTGATCCCTCACCACTGTTCTTGCCATATCACTTGTCCCACTCTGGCGCTGGCTGGTCTTCCCAATTGCCCACAGTAGAAGACACGCTGCTACCCCATGCCTGGGGCTGAGCACAGCCCAGTAACAAACATGGTTATTGAGAATAAAGGGCAAGCATCAGCATGTAGCAGTGGCCAGTTAGGTCCTGTCGTGGCTACCTGAGGGCCCACTGGAGAACCAGCTGTAAGACATACATGGCAGGTAAACTGTTTTTGAAAGGAAAGGGTATGGGCCCAGTGAGCAGAAGAGCTCTGGCCCCAGTCTTGTTCTGGAGGGAGCAGGTGGGTATTTAAAGAACAACAGGTTGGATAGAAACGGCTGGTGTGGCAAGGAGGCAAAAGAAACCTTTATTCAAGCCTGAGCAGAAGGCCTCAGGGCGGTGTCCCTACCCCTTTGTCCCTTGTGCAGCCAGCCACTGAATGAGGGTGAAGTGCTGCTATGCCAGCCACCCCTTCCTGCTGGTACCTCCCCACAACTCTACTTTTGCCTCAGGTTCACCTCAGATAAGCAAAGTAGCCCAGCGGATGCAGCAAGTGGGAGCGGGACCAATAGCCAGGGGATTCTGCTCTTTGACCCTCCCTCCTACAGTCCATGATTGGGGGGCAGCTTGCTAGGCCCCCCACTTCCAACAGCAAAAGGCCCCAGCCCAGCTGAGTCGAGTCCCCTGCTCACTTAGACACGCACAGACACACCCACGTTCAGTCTGGTTTTATTGTCTCAGCAGCTCTGGTTCTTTGCAGTTGTGGCATGTTGCCCACGGCTCCAGTTTCTTCCCTCAGGTGTAGTGACGAGCCTGCCCGGTAGCAGCAGGTTGCTATGGAGGCCGCAACCAGAGGAAAACCCAGCGCAAGGCCACTTAGCGCCCTAAAGCGCCAACTTGGTGCCAGTGTCTCCAGCAGCCTTAAAGGAGCCCCCCAGCCGGGAGCGACTGGAGGCTGTTCTCACTTAGACGGGACTAGAGGGGATGACTTAAGGAGAGGAGCTAAGCCTCAGCAGGTGGCCTGGTGGCAGGACGGCAAGGGCGGGGGAGGAGAGCATGACACCTCCCCTCTCCAGGTAGCTCAGATTTCTTGAGAGAAAGGAGGCAGCAGCTCCAGGCCAGGCCAGAAGCAGAGATGGGCTCAGCCCCAGCCTAGGGTTAGCAGAGAACTGCAGCCTGGTGGGAGGGACGACAAGACAACAGGCAGCTCTAGCATCTCCTCTCCCAGCTACAGAGGCTCCCCCAGCCCCAGCGGAGGGACCCTTGGGCGCAGACCAAGGTCCTCCAGCAGCTCAAGTAAAACCAACATTACAAGAACTTGAGTAACAGACACTCACCCCTGCCGAGGGGGAAGCAGCCAGGGACACTAGCTCAGTAGGGCAGGGGCTCGTACCTAGGATGTGTCCTGCCCGAGCTGGCCAGTGCAGCAAACACCCTCAGCAGGGCCTGCTAACATCCCTGCCTGCCCCCATCGTGGATACAGCAGAGATCCACACAAGCCAGCCTGCTGGACAGAGGTAGCAGCTTAGCCATGGCCAGGCCCGACAGGCCCCAGTCAGGCTGTTGCCCCCAGAGAGCTGGTCACGGCCCGGGCAAGAGCAGCAGGCCCCAGCTGGCAGGGGAACAGCGAAGGAGGGAGACGTGCCAGAGGAAGCACAGCCAGAAACCCAGAGGGCTGACACGTCCGCATGGAGCTGTAACCCTGGGTGGGAGCATCCTGCCCCAGTAGCAGGGCTTGGAGTTGTCCCATCGCCATGGGCTGCCCCCAGCTCTCTGGTGCTGTTTGAGGGCTCCCCCCCAAGGCTGGTCTGGAGACTAACTCACGCGCATCATTTAAATAGCAAAATAAATTACGTCAGCCCGGCCGGAGTCGCTGGCACTCGGGACACCAAAAGAGCACGGGACAGACACGACTCCACCGGCTCCTCCGGGCCTGGGGCGACAGGACTGGACCACACAGACAAAGGTACAAGCTGCTCCATCACCATCCTGCAACTGCTGCCCAGCAGGCCACCGCTGAGTCAGCCACGTGGAAGGGAGGGTGGGGGGGGACAATCTCATCTGCTGGGCTAGAGCAGCAAGTGTTTCAAGCAAGGAGAGGGCAGAAGGACCCAGGAGCCAGCCGGCCTCCGCACGCACAAGCAAAGTAGAGTTACCGGTGGTTCAGGAAACACCAGTTGCTTTGGCACATGTAAGGCAGAGAAGTCAGTGCTGTTGCTTGTTTGGTCCAGAAAGTTTTACGGGAAGGGAGGGAGGGCAGACAAGGGAGGCTCGGAGGCAGCGAGCGACTGAATTAGCCCCTAAGTCAGAGAATAGGATCCATGTGTAAAAGGAGTAAGGTGGGGCTGAGAGCACAGCCTGACCCTTGCCCTGGAACAGGAGTCAGATGCGGGGATCACACTAGAGGGGGTCTGGAGCCAATCAGCCCCCCCTACCCCCCGCACTCCTCTGCCCAAGACGTTCAAGGCTTAAAAACAGCAGAAGATGCACTGTGTCCCGAAGGTCAAGTCTTTAAAAAAGAATCCTAAAAACCCGAAAGTCTCCGACCAGAATAACTCAGGCTCCGATCACATCACAGACTCCTTCTCGAAGGAGCCAACAGCTGGCAGGGGGCTGTCTCTCTTGATCAGTGGGGACCCCTCCTCCTCGCCCACGGCCTTGCCAGGGCCCGGGGCGTCTGTCTTGATCTCCATCAGCTCCTCACCATCAGCCTTCCCCATCGTCTTCTCCGTGTACACCTGCAGGAGGCCGGCTCCGAAGGCGTCTCCTTCCACGTTGAGGACGGTGCAGGTGCGGTCTCTGAACAAGCCAGGACAGTGGGTGAGCAGACAGACGCCAGGAGGAGTCAACCATCACTCACCAGGGGCAGGTGCCACCTGGAGATGGCAGCACAGAGCTGCCTCAAGCCCCCGCCCAGCCCCAGCACCCTGGGCACAGTCTATATCTGGGTACGGACTCGGCAGGAGTGCGGCAGATGCAGCCAGCGTATATCTGAAGCAGGAGGAGCACTGCACCCTGCAGGATACATCCCGGGCCTCAGGGCACGTCCAATTCACAGCCTGGCATTTGCTGCAGGCTGGGCCCCTCAATCAGGCATTTTAGTCACCAGGCCTGGAGCGTACGGACACAGGGAAGCAGCACCCTGTCCACTACGCAGGGCAGCTAGGCCCCTAGCCGAACCTGGCCAGCAGCCACCAGCCACCTCATGCTGTTTGTTGCCATGATCGACATCCCCGCCCCATCCCAACCTCCCCACTCCCCTCCCACATCTGGTTGCACGCAAGAGCAACCTTAGTCATCCACCCCCATGCCTGCTCTCCTGGACGACTAACCCACGCATGCCCTCGAGCACAGCAGCTCCCCGGAGTGCCCTGGCAAGGTGCCACAGGGTCTTGTCTGCCTGGCACCCTCCCTACCTGCACAGTAGGCAAACAGACCCACAGGACAGCCTGAACAGCACGGTCAAAGGACCAGCCCCATGTCACTGTGCCCAGGGCTTTCCGCCTGGGCGGTAGCTCCCATCTCGCTTAACTTGTTCTGCGGAGGCTGCCGGAACATGGCGCCCCAGGAAACAGATTCCCACTGACCCTGCCAGCTGCACCCATGCAGCCTGTCTGAGGGATCCCTCTGTCCCACCCCTCCAGCCTTTGCCCCCCGCCCTGCTCTTACACAAGCCAATCCACAGCCAGGATGAGGGAGATGTCATTGGTCGGCAGCCCAACAGCTTCCAGGATGATGGCGAGAGTGAGGACGCCGCCGGCCGGGATCCCCGCAGCTCCCACGCTGGAGGCGGTCGCGGTGACACTGCAGGGCAGAGGGGGGAGATCAGACCTGTCTCCAGAGCCAGAGGGGTGCTCTTACATTGCATTTTCCATCCGTCCATCTCAAAGCACTTCAGTCTAGTTCTTTTATCCTGCCACCCCCCAGGGAGGCAGGCCAGGGCCGTTATCCCCATTGGGCAGATGGGGAAATTGAGGCCCACAGAGGTCAAGTGACTTGCCCAAGATCACAAAGGCAGTCAGTGGCAGAGCTGGGACTTGAACCCAGGTCTTTGGATAATGCCCTAACTACATTGTCCGAGAGTTAAGGAGCACGTGGCGAGCGGACACATCAGCACCCTACAGCAGCTGGGCATTCATCCTACTCCTGCCACCAACTCAGGTCACTTCCCCAGGGCCCCATCTGTAAGAGGGCAGGCATTTCCCTTTCCCATGGGAGAGGTACTGGGGCGCATGGCCCTGCCCAGAGGTTTCCGGAGTCCCAGATGAAGCGGACCTGGGGAAGCCAGGGCAAGGCCGCCCCCTCCGGCCCGTTCCCGTCTGGCTCTAAAAGGTTCCAATTAACCTGTCTGAGCCAAGACCAGAGCGAGCCCTTCGCCTTCCACCTACAGCTGGCAAAGGAGAAAGCCTCCAGCTCTAACGAGCTACCATGCAATCACAGGTCACCTTGTGTGCCCTGCCCTGGATGGAGGGGCACAGCCAGGTGCCCTGCACTCAGAGGAACGGCTCTGCCAGCCGACAGCGTCCACACCTGCAGGGGGTGCGGGAACGAGGCAGAGCAGCTGGGTGCTGTGAAAGGCCAGCGTATCCCAAACCTCGTGCTGGGGAAATGCCGACAACCCACGCGTGAGGGAGCACAGCACAGCTGGGGGGTGGAGAGGAGCACTCCCCCCACCCCCCCGCCCAGCTCCTGGATTGGGAGCTCTGGGGGGGAAGGAATCCAGCCTTCATTCCTTGTAGCGCACACTGGTCAGTGCCAGAGCTCCGTCCGCATTCACTGCGCCCCGTTACACAACAGCAGGCGTGACCCTGCCGTGAGCAAGGGTCACATGAATCTCCCCCGGCTTGGCAGCCAGCTCGCCA